ACCCGTCACCGAGAGGTGGGAAAGCCATTGAAGTCACGGTGTTCCTTCCTCTTGAAACAATGGCGAAGTTCAGTGAGAAAGTCAAAACGAATTAATCCTGTGTACCACCTTACGTGTTAATATCCAGAGTCCATCGTCTCGTCTGCTTGTGTGACATGACTTGACTCCAATCAATCCGTGCGTGTTGTTTAGAATATAATATCCCCGAGCCTCTAGGAGTCCCTGTGCTGCTTTGCTTGTCACTGCGAGTTCGAGCTTGGATCTTCAACGGGGTGAAGATGAAAATGGACGACTTTCAAGTGAAAATCACCGAGGTACATCTTCTCTCGCCTGCAAATCCCACAGAGAGGTGTCAGCTCCCCTTCACAACATTCGCTCTAATGCAAAAGAGGGACTCCATGCCATACCTTCAAAGAGTAGCGTTCTATGAATCCACTGGTAAAGACGCAGATCTCCAACAGGGATCATACCGAACGCTGCCGCAAATGGGAGGATTTCCTCACACCAGAATGGCCGCCATTCAAGAACACGTCTGGATGGAAGCTCGACGAAATATTTCGACTTCTTGGTGATTGGGAGCGGTGCCAGGTTGTGTCCGGTGGGGCGTCTTCTCCGACCTCATGAGCTCGGCTTGGCACAGGGCCTGGTAAGCCAGCATCTCCTGCTTCGCCTAGGCCTCGTTGATCCTACCATTACTCTCGCCCCTGTTACTTACCACGCACAGGCTCTCACGGGAATGCCCACACAACCGTGTCCGACCAGAGCAGCCATGGAGCCCTAGGAGTGCATGGCATAACACTTGTCACCACGCCCTCTTCCCTTCCCGGCCACGCGTGCATCCCGCCCATTGGCCGCCACAACATTGAGCCGATATTCCCGCCAACCATGGCCACCGGCCCTGGCCCGAGCCTGGGCTGGCCTCCCCTTGCCGAGAACCATGGCTTCCGAGGCTGCCCCGGGCCTGGGATCGGACGGCTGCGGGGGTGTGGGTTCTTCGTTCTTATTATTATAGATTATTAAATTTGATTATATTTTACACTTTGAAGACTATATCTTTTAATAAACTCTTAAAGTGAAAGGTAGATCCCTCCAAAAGAAAGAAAAAACGGCACCCTTCAAGAATTTTTGAAGTTCTTTATTTAATAGAGTTTCCAAAACTTGGTTGTAGCTAGACTTGGATCAATAACACTGTAATTTGTGTGTAAATCTATTATATTTATGCTTATAAAACATTATTAAATTTGATTGTATTTTACACTTATCTTTTAATAAACTCTCGAAGTGAAAGGTAGCCTTCAAAAGAAAGAAAACGTCACCCTTCAAGCATTTTTGAAGTTCTTTATTTAAGGTATGAAACCTACATATACATCTGGATTATTGGATATTGGTACCTGAACATTCCAAGTATTGAAAGCAATATTCATACATGATTTGCAGTGCAGTAATGCCTTTCACTAGCAAAAACATTGCACAGCTGGATCACATGGTTTATGAGAATCTGAAGCTTGTAGTACTCTCCAAAGTTGGTTGTTATCCATACATATGTTCAATACAACAATGGAATGGTTATCTTTCCACTCCAAAACTGAAGACCAGAGGGACTCAGACACTGCCGGCTTTTGACCGTGATTTTTAAAAAATTTATGGAAAATATTCATCCACAATAACCATGATTTCACCACTTCAAATAGTGTTCAATGATATCTGGTGGCCAAAATTTTACCACCCCACTTTTCTTGTTGGAGTAATCTTTCTGGATTTTTTTGTTGGAATTGAGTTGGTCATTTTTCAGATTGCTATTACAATTTTTCACAGAAGGTGTGGACAAGGCGGCCGAGGAGCTCACTCGCGTCGACAGGGTATCATGAGCTCCTAGAAGGACAAAGAAAAAAGAGTTTGGACACCACGTCTGATGAACTCACAGTACCTCGAGCATCTGGAGGACACCAGGCAATACATTCGTTGACTTCCATTCGATCCTGACCAGGCTGCTGCTCAAGCTATCGTGGATTTGTCTCAGCCTCGCTAAGCTAGCGTGATCTGGCCGATCCTCGTAATTGAAGTTGTCCAGGAGAAACAAGAAAAACTTCTCCACCTGTTATCCAGTGGTGGCGGTGCTGGCTAGAGCTTGACTCTCTAGTCGCGCGAGCCAAACGAGGGATTGCTCGTTGCGCCCGAGCTGAAGCAGCAGCCAGGAGTAGACTAGCTCCAGCAAGATCTTGGTCACGTCCAAGAGATCCAGTAAGTTAACTTAGGGTGTTCTGTCACGAGCTCGTAGATCCTGGATAACGGTTGGGTTCCTACTCTCCAAAAAAAGATAGAGATCCAACTCTCCAAAACTTACGTGTTAGACGTGCCAGTGTTTCCTCTTGATCCTCCCACTCAGTCGTCGCAGCATTTGCCATCAACTGGAAAGAAAAATCCGAATCAAACAAGTCTAGAAGGATACCAGAACACTCACCTCGTCCAGCTTGGACAAGACGTAGTTGCAGTAGCAAAGTGGCAAAACCCATCCCCTGCTCTCGATGCCTACAAGAAAGATCAGCATGGTGATGCTCGAGAGGGAAAGAACGTACTCTACCCTATAATCTTTGCCCTTACTTCTTGGCCATGATTGTGCAAGAAAAAGACGAGAGGAACTCACAGTTGAAGCGCCTCAAGGAATTTGTAGTGCTCCGTCCAGCTCTCGCGCGACTTTGTGATGGTGTATGGCTTGCGGATCTTCCTGGCGGCATTGCTCTCCTGCATTTGGCGCTGCTGCTGCGCGATCGACCATGAAAACCTGGAAATATTCCCTAATCGTGCAAAGAACTAACCAATCGTGCAGAGAGTTGTCAAGAAAGTGAAGCGCTGACCAAGCGGAGCATAGATTTTGGCCGAGAACGCACTGATTTCGACCGAGAATGCAATGCCGGACAGCAAGAGCGCTTTCTAAAACCCTAGGAAACATTATAATGACGTGGCTCACCTCCAGTGCCACATAGTTTGAACACGTCAGCGCCTAGGTGGATGCATTTAGGGTTCTTCCTTCCTGCGATGCGTAAGCATCAAAATCGTTCTTCCTCAAGCCAGATCGTTTGTCTATCGTTCTTGCAGAGAGTGGTCTACTCTTTAATTTTGGAGACAACAGCACCGATCAACTCCGTTGCAAAACCACCAATGATCTCCCACATTGGAGGCAATCATCTAAAAGGCAAAGTATAGAAAGGAATTGTAGCTCATAATTTTTTTCCAGGGATGACCACAAATCCCACAAAATTTATGATTCAATTAATTCAATTACTTTTACCCACTTTAAAAACTACAATGGTAGATACACTTTCTAGCTAAAATCACCAAAATCAGTTAATCTTTTACAGCCACTCAGGCTTTATTAGTGGAGGTGAAGGGCATTGCAATTTATCTTTAAAGGGCAAAAGTTTTTTGTAACACTTTGTACTAGTGTTTGGGATTATGGTTTTTTTTTTCTTATTTGTTCATTCTTTTTTAATTTTAGATTTATATTAACTTTTTGCAAATCTAGAATTTTAGCTATTGTTGTGCTTAAATTTACTCTTCTTCTAATCTTCATTGCATTTTCTTCTTCTACCATGTCACACCATCATCGATCAAAGAGTATATCATTTGAAGTTGCCAATGTTGCTCTATTGGATCAAACTTTTGGTGCTATGGGATGTAATTATGTTGGTGTTACACCCATCCTTGGTGTGTTGTACACAACTTATTTTATTTTTAGTGTTTTGCCATCTTTCATTGATATGGAACATAATTGTGACATTGATTGACAAGTTATGGATGATGCAGTTTAGTTCTTGGAAAATGTTCGAAGATTAAATTTATGGGAAGACAATGTTTATAAGCTCGAATAGATTCTGAATTGTGATGAAGAACTTAATTATTATAAAGATAGTTTTGGAGATGAAATGGAGATTTCGTGTGGTAGGTATTAATCTTTCAATTTGCTATTTAATCCTTTCTCTTTACTTTCTACTCTTTCCTAACCTTTTCTTATTTGTCGGCCTGAGCCATCTTCTCATGTTCCTAGTATTTCTTCCTCATTTATAGTGTTTTCTTCTCTTGGCATGTCCATCATTTATGACTTTGATAATTCTCATTCTCAATCTAGTATTGAGTTTAGTGTTTTATGTCCTCTTTATACTAATTTAGATGTTGGGTGTATTCATGAGTTGAGAATCTTGCTTTCGTTTCATTGGTAAAGTCTTTGATCAGTTTTAGTGTTGAATATTCAAATCACTTTGGCCAGAGTTTCAAGTTGAATGCATATCCTCACTTGTGAGTGCTGTTAAGAGCCTTTGAGGAGTTTATATATTCCCTTGAGAGTGTGGACGTTATTATTAATTTCTCAATCTCAAGTGTTAAATTGTGTGTTAAGAAGGTTGAGCAGTGTGAATCTTTTACTTATATTATAGTGGCTAAAGTATTTTATAATAGAAAGTCCCTTATTTTCTAAGCTTTGAGCATATGTCTTTATTTTGATTTCCCCATTTCTACATTGCCAGCTATTACAAATTCTTTTTTTTATGTTTCTTTATCCACTTTTTCTTCTTCCACAATTGTTTTTCCTTAATTTTTCTCATTTTTTCCTTTTTGCCTCAACACTTCAAATTGTTTTTTTCTTCGGAGGGGACGGATAGGAGTCTGGCCCTGACAATGGAGTGAGGACAAACAAATATGGTAGTGGAGTGAGGACGAATGATATGGATTGTAAAATAAGGATGAATATAGTAAATCTAGATGGAACTAATGCTTCAAAACTTTTTTCCTTCGAGAAGGTGATAAGGAGGATCTGGGGGACAAATAGAGTGAGTTTGACTTCCTATGTGTAGTGTTAGATGAGGACAATAGTTGTTCTACTTGTGGTCTTAAGTCCGAGTTAATGGTGGTCTCAGACAATTATCAATAGGTAGACTTAAACAGGGGAGGTATCAGTTGTTACAATGGTATTTTATAAACTATAGTGGTTCTCTAAGTCTCTTTCTTTAATTCAAAGTTATGACTTCAAAGTTAGTTTAAGAGTTTAGTAGTTGTACACGAAGTTGCAATTGGTTCATTGGGATTCCATAGTCAACTAATGCTTATGCCATAGCTCTAGATTTTATTTCAGTTATAGTTATCAACAACTTTGTGTAAGGAACCAACTCCCCAAGGTGTCGTAAGCTAAAAGATCCCCGAAAGCATGACCGAAATGACAAAGAGTTCATCGGATGGGACCGAGTCTGAGATCGAGTCTAAGACTGACTCTGAGACCGAGTTCGAGATAGAGTCCGGGTTCGAGTCCGAGGCCGACTTAGAGACCGAGTTCGAAGCTGAGTTCGAGACCGAGTTCGAGACAGAGTCCAAGATCCGAGATCGGGTTCGAGACCGAGTCCGAAGTCGGGTCCGAAGTCGAGTCCAAGATCAGGTCTGAGATCAAGTCCGAGATCGAGTCCGAGACCAAGTCCGAGACCGAGTTAGAGTACTAATAAGCTCTATTTCGTTAAAGTGGGAATTGTCATTATCCCACTTGTAAAATAAGGTTTCCAAACCTTTATATAGTATATAAATATAACAAAATTCAACTGCATTGAGGCACATGCTATTTTATTTTAAACAAGGAAATGTCTACTCAATCACTTCTCCTCCCTCTGCCACTGCTTCACCTCTCTCTTCTCTTTGTCATCGTCGTCCAATTTCTTTCCATCCTTTTAATATTGGCTTAGTTGCTCCGAGTCTAGGTGGAGCCCAAGTCCCCATTCAATCTTTACTTTCCCCTTATTAATAAAACAACTTCGTAGATTTCCAATAACATGCTGTAACACTTCTAGTATAATGCAAATCCTCTCAAAGAATTGTCTTTTAATATTAATACAATGGCATGGAACCCCATGCCATAATAAGTTACATTTTTAAATAAATACATGCCATCTCAAACTGTTATTTTTTGCCTCCAACGCCTATACAATAATCTTGGAATTTCATCACTCTCCACACTATCAGGATTTAAACCCAATAGTAATGCCATCTCTTCTCTAATACGTCCACGCTCATGTTCAGTGGTCGAAGAACCCATCTGGTTGAGCAGATTATGGAGATGCGGATAGTGCTTGGTTAGACAATATACATGCCATAAATGATGACTGGTGTCTGTCCGATCAAATGGCTTCTGATATACCGTTCCATCTGCCATTTGGTTGATTTCTGCAGCCACCTCCTGGACTGGCCGGTTCTCTATCACCATCGCTTCAAGCCGTTTTGCAAGGTCCCCCAGAACATACGGTTTCTTCTCCCTAGTTTCCATACTGCAAGAGATGGGGTGCACTGCATATGTGTGCGTGTTCGCTGCAATTTTAATCGGCGAGTCATCGATGATGAGGATTTCACTTGACCTAGCAGTCCGGTTCATCACTACAGCCTCTGGCTTGACGAAGATGGGCTTGCTACCCCTCACATGGACCATAGTCAAGCAATCCTCCTGCGTTAGGAGAAAGTCAAATGGTAATATTACTCGCGTCTGATCGTGCATCATCTGTAGCAACGTTAATGCATTGTGGCGCATCATGGATGTCCAAACTCCCAATTGCAAATTGAACCCGGCCCTCTGTTTTAAGTGTCGCATGGTCATTATTAGATCCCGCAGTTTCTCCCGTGTGATTAATGTGAATCTGTCTCTTTTGACCAACTTGCAACTGCAGGCTTTGGAGGGTGCAGTGACATTCGAGGACGAGCCACGCTCATGGGAGAAAAGGACACCGTTCAGATCAAAAACGATACAGTACTTTCGCCGTGACTCTGAAATGAAATGCGTCAGCATAAAAAATGGTACAAGTCAATTTTACCATCTACAATATTAGCGAATGGTGCTCCCGATGGTCGTTCAGAGGGTTTTGGTCGAGGAAACGTGAAGGGCGGAAATACTCTCCTTTGCAATGTGGGGTCAATCGCATCCGATGGCGTGTGGGCACATGCCATTTCAGCTGTAGACTCTGGTACAACTGGCTCAACAGTGGCATGGGGTGGTTCCGATGGCGTGTGATCACACGCCATTTCAGCTGGTGCCTCCGTTGGCAAAGTGGACATGACCGAACAGGCAGCAGGGGCGGTGTAGGGAGGTTCCAACGGCGCGTAGTCAGACGATTGGGCACACGTTGAGTCCGTTGGAAATGAGGATACGACCGGCTCGGCGGCTGGGGCGGCCTTATGCGGGTCCAATGGCGCCTGGTCACCGTCAGTTGGATACGTGGACAAGATTGACTCAGTGGTATGGGCAGCATCAAGTGGAGCGTGGTCAGCTTGCTTGGCGTTGATATGGATAGTAGCCTCCACCAACTCTGATGACGCTTGCAGGCAAGTAGAGTCCACTGGCGGATCCATATGCATGTCCAAATATCTCCCTTCGATTGAGATGGTATCCTCCCTACTGGCTACTAAAAACAAACTCATTAGCACATTGAATCGACTATACTGTATTTACCATCAACTGCTATTGGGCGCACTGCTGATTCTGAAGGATTGGACATACGTTTCGACCCTTGCTTGGCACTATCCTTCCTCGACACTAAAGGCTAGAGTTTGTATCTTAATTCAACTGAATAATCTCTACTTACCATTTCTTCTGCGACCTACATGGACAATGTTAGAAATGGTAAAAGGTTAGGAATGGATGTACTATTATTTACCTGATGGTTTGTCTTGTATGACCTTCCTCCGCTGCTCTTTGGCCACCTCAGGCTGGCCATCATCGTCATCGTCGTTATTGTGATCGTCACCATTGTGAGGACCATCCAAGTCCTCTTCGTCCTCCTCTTCTTCGTCCTCCTCTTCTTTGTCCTCCTCTTCGTCCTTCTGCTCTTCCTGCTCATTATCTTTCTCTGGCTCCTCATCCCCCTCCTGCATTTCTTCCATAGGCTGCTCAGGCTGGATGGCT